TCAAGACTCACTGCGAGGATGAGCTCTGAGGTAGCGGGTGAAGTTTCTCCAACCATTCAAGTAGTTACGTGAGTTTTCGCCTCTAGCCGAGTGCACGGCTCACGGGCAAGATCGCAACCCAGAACTCCCTCAAGGGCGCTTAAGGATTGTGTTGCTCCAAAAGAATTCCAGACCTGCAGTGTTGCATCTTTTCGCGCTTTCGGTAGAACTCCCATAGTCCATGTCCATACTCATACTGCAAAATCGTTTGCAGAGGTACACTTGGATTTGTCTTTGTGTCTGGCGCGTTTGCGTAATATGAGCCAGAAATTTTGTGAAAGCATTCGACTGAGTTGATAGCTGTTCGCCCCGCGCGTCCCTGTAGACATCTTGGTTACTCCGGTTGGAAGCATTCCACTTTCTCAGGCAGCTCATCGCCCGTACCTCCTCTGAGACCTCTGTGCAAAGAATAAGACTCTTTTGGCAATCTGGGCAATGGCAGACTACTGGCTGGGGTGCCGGGGCGGAGCGCCCCAAGCGCGGCCACCGGGACCTCTGCCCGTCATGTTGCCAGCGGCATTACCCGGGCCGCTGCCGGGGCAAGGGCTTCCGGGGATGGGCCAGCTGCCAATGACCCAGATGGCGGGCCCGGCTGCGCAATGTGGGCAGGCAGCTCGTACTTTGATTCCCGTCTCCTGCAGTCTCCTGCTTCTTTTATGCATCCATGCAGGTGTTGGCACAGTCACAGCTGCCTCACGGCCCTCAAGACTTTCAGCCGCAAGCACAGCAGGCGCAGCCTAAGCAGGATGACCTAGGAATCTTGATAATTGATAAGTGTGCTTCTTTTATCTGGGAGGTTGCGCAACAGCAGCTTATGCAAGTCCAGCGCTTGGAGCAGATGGCTCATCAGCTTCAGGCTTCGAGTCTTTCCAGTCTGTCTTTCCGGCCCGAGCAGTCCACTCCCGCGGAGCGTACCTCAGACTTCGACCGGACCCTCCCGGCGCTGCCAGCGCCCCCAGGTGTAATCCCGGGAGCGACGCCAGGAGCAACCTCGGCTTTTGAAACTGCTTCGGGTCCGGCAAATGCGGCGAAAGTGGTTGATGTGCTCACGCTGGCAACAGTAAGGGTCTGGACCTAAGTGCCTAGCTCTTGCTGATGGTACATGAGGGCAGAGTGTTAAACAAACTTGCGAGGCTTACTTTCCCATGGTTGTGGCACAGACTCTGTCGGCAGATGCGGCAGCGCGCGCCTTCCAGAGATTTGGAGAAGTAGTTGGCCTGGACATGCCGCTATGCTGCTTTGAGACACGCCATCATGCAAACTGCACGATTCGTGTGCTTTTCATGTCCAGCCAGTTGCGAATGTTTTTTCGACTTTCATTCTTGCATCATGGAATCATCGTCGCTATCAGTGATTCCGTGGGATATTGGTTGGCCCTGCGCATCCTTGCTACATCTCAGGCAGAGCTGTAGGAGCAAGGGCGAAGTCATCGTGACCTTCTCGGAGCCCAAAGCGGCACAGCGACTCCTCATGGCTTTGAGCCCGGAGCGCCATTTGCGGAATCACTCGGTCTTTCAGCTTTGCGAGATGATCCAGATGTGTTTTCTGAGATTTTCTGTGGCTTCGTGCTATATGTACCCTGGTGATTAGCGATGCACGTTCCAACACCTTTTGGCTTGCTTGAAACTCCTAGCTGTCCTAGCTCTGCACCTTGCAGGAGAGAGTTCTCGACTTCACCAACGAATTCGCACCACCCGCGGTGGAGCGGCCAGACACCCTCGAATCCGTTCTCTCTAGTACGAACGAGTGGTGGGCTCAGCTTCGGATCGCTGGGGGCTTGCTGGGGGCGTGGATGCAAGCTCACACAAAGGATAAGGGCAAATTGTTTGTTGTGCAGACATCATGATACTGGTGAAGGTGCTACATCCTGTTGGCAAGTGTTTCCTAAGTTGTGCAAGAATCCATCGATGCAAGCGCCTAGAATCCCCCTTCAACTGCGATTTCGCCGAAAAAGTTTTGGCTTCTCAAGGGCATTTCTTGGCTTAACCCCGAGTGCCGTTCGAGACTTGCTGCCCAGGTTGTCATCAACTCCGACAGCATCGGTCGAGGAAGCAGGCTTTGCGCAAAGGGTATGTTTTGCAAGTTGGCATTGAGGGTCCCATTTTTAGAGTCGGGCCCAAGTTCAATTCAAGCCAGCTATTTCTTGCAACAGGTCTATTGAGAACTACCTTAGCCGCAACTTGGTCTGAAATTGGCATACTTACCATTGAGGCATGTTCTTATCTCTAGCTTGCAACTTGGTGCTTTGCTGCAGGCCGGCCGAAATCCAGGCCCTGGCACTTTTCGTGCTTGTGACTGGGGTGGGGTGCACAGTCCTCTGTCTCGCAGGAGAGGTACCGGATTATGCGACGCTCCTGGCGCCGACGCCAGGACGCCTACCCACTCCGTTCCGGAGCGACCCAAAGGAGCTGTTCTCTTACAGCGAGGGCTGACGCCTGCATGCTGTTTGCTGCCTTTTTACTGCCAGGAGGTGCAAGAAAGCGCTCATCAGTTCATCCCTGAACACGTAGCTCAGGGAAGGGATTTAAGGACAGATCGCGTGGAACATGACGTCTTGGTCCCATGTGAATGCCCCCATGCAAGGACCTCCATCATACTCGGTGGAGTGCCAAAGACCTGTAGTTCCGAGCGGTTCCTGCACACCATGAAGGGCTGCCAGCTGATTACGAAGCTGAGGTGCAAGCTATGCCGGCATATGGAACCTCATTGGAAGCTGAAACCTGTGAGGTTCTTCTACTTGCCCGTCGACAAACCACGTGGACGAGCAGTTGGCTACATCTTTATGGACTTCCAGCAAGCGACAGACATACTGGAGTTCTGGGCTCGCCTTCAAGAGCTTTCGGAGGGAATAGGCTGCTCCCTCAGAGCACTTGCCAGTGTTTCGCGGTCCTCCTGCACCTTTACTGAGTCCTGAGGTGGGCCGAAGGCCCTGCAAAGTCTTTACGTGAGCTATTCGCGGATTCAAGGCACTTTTTGAAGCTTTGATGACCTTTCGTGCTTGTCCTTGAGATTCAAACTGGATGTTGCAGGCAGAGATCAGCTCTTGGAGCACTTTGGTGGCTCAGCTTCTCGACGGCAAACCAGTGAGCCGAACGCCTGCACAAGATGCATTGAATCGAGGACATCATGTTTGAGCCAGATGCCAACAAACGCTGCTCAACTACAGGAGTCCATGCAATGCATCTGAGTGCAGTCAATTGCAGCCTCTTGTTCTCGAAATTTTCCAAGGTCCACAGTTCTTCTTTCCACAGGACTGACGGATCTGCAGAGGTCTACAGCAAGGCCTTGCGCAACAGAGAAATGCAGAGAGAGTGAAGCGGATGAGAGCTGTTCGTCATCTCGCCAGGCATGACATGATTGCCTTCGTTTCCGACCGCTGAGAATGATTCTCTTTGAGCGTTTCCAGTAAGGGTAGGGCTTGTGTGTCGCAGGTGGCTAGTAGGGCTCTGTTGCATTTTAGCATAGTGCAGCAGACTCCTGTGGGGGTGAAAACATTTCCCGCCTCCTGGCAAAGCGTGACAGCACGGTCTGCGGATCTCCACCTGTGCTGGACTTCTTGTTCATGATCAATCCCATGGTCATAAAGAAAAACATAAAAGGTCTGTTTTTGTTGATGCTACACGTGTAGCTGCTACAGGAGGTCTTGACAGTGCAGGCTGCAGCTGCAACCCTCTGTGCTAGGAGAAAAGGCAGCATCAAGGCAAAGTCAACTGATTGGGGTTTCACGATGTTTCATGTAGTCGTGTGGCTGCAGAGAAGATCCTCATGTCCCTCTGAGTGTGGCTCAGGCGGACATTTGTGTCCATAGCTTGGCCACCACACCCTTGCCAGCACAGCATGACTGCAATGGCTGCAGGCATGGTCTTCGCGCTCAGCGCGTGGGTTTTCAGCGCGGCTTGGGGATTGAAGTTCAATGAAGCGCAGTCGAGTGTGCAGACGGATTTGAGCGAGGGGATGGCCTTGCAGGCTAGCTTGGAAAAGTTCGCTGCAACTCTGCCTGAGGGTGCTACCAAGGACCTCCTGCGTAGCTTCCGTGTCTGTGGGTCTTGCGAGAATTTCCGCCGTTTTGGTGAGCTACATGATGGTGGGTATCTCATGTGCATGGACCACATGCACGGCGTGACAGCTGCTTACTCGATGGGCGTGGAGCAACACGACAAGTGGTCGAGTGACATCGCTAATACCTGGCACGTCCCCGTGTATCAAATGGATTGCACCGTGAAGAAGCCGGCTCAGCTGTGCCCGGGCTGCAAATTCTTCCGCAGCTGCATTTCAACGCCAGGCGGTCCGCAGCCTGCATGGACCTTGGCTGAGACATTGCAGCACACAGGGCAGGGAGCAGCAGCTGAGAGAAGCCTTTTTGGCAAGATTGACATTGAGGGCTCCGAGTGGGGCGCTTTGGCATCTGCCGATGTCTCGATGCTCAAGCGTTTTCGACAGCTTGCAATCGAATTTCACTGGCTGGACAAGGTCAATGAACATCCAAACTACCTAAAAGCCATGCAGAAGTTGCAGATGGCAGGTTTCCGGGTGGTCCACGTACATGGCAACAATTATTCCCCTATGTACAGAGCTGGGGAGTTTAAAATCCCCTCGGTGATTGAGGTCACTTTGGACTCCCATGCGCAGTCTTTGGCCACATGCCTTCCGGATCAACAGATGCACTTTCTTGACATGCCCAACAGGGTTAAAGCTGTGGAGCTTCCGCTGGCCCACCTTCCCAACTTCTGAGGCTGTTGACAGGCCAAGCTCCGCATCTCAGTGTCACGACACGTCACGATCCAGGAAGCGACAAAATGCCGTTGCTGAGCATAGCAAAGCTTTTTGATTCCTTTCTGTGCTTTGTGGGCTTGCCTCTGAAGATTTCTTGCCCCGCTGAGTGTGGCTCATGCGGACATTACACCCTTGCCAGCACAGCATGACTGCAATGGCTGCAGGCATGAGCTGCGCGCTCGGCAAGTGGGATTTCAGCGTGGCTTCGGGATTGAAGTTCAACAAAGCGCAGTCGAGTTCGTTGCCAACTTTGCCTGAGGGTGCTACCAAGCATCTCCTGCGTAGCGGGTCTTGTGGAGTGTCGAGATGTGGGATTGTAGCTGCGTGCTTGACTGTACTATGCTCAGGCTAGGCAAGATGATCAGTGCATGAGCTGCGCATGCGCGCAGCTCGGCTGCTGGCCCTGGCATGGCTTGGCAGGCGTAGGGTTTGAACTGCACTTGGCGACACCGGCGATGCCTGTCCCGTGGATAGAGTAGTACTCAATGAGGAGATATGTTGTAGAGTTGTTTATGAAGAATAAAAGTGCGCTTGGTTCAGCCACCAAAGGATACACTCAATTGATGTTTTGTTTGTACAGGGCCTCCGAGGATGCAGAGGATGCGGACCCGTCAGACACACTGGAGGTCCATCATTTGATTTCTTTTTTGCTGATCCTTTGCATGCTTGCATGCCTGGGCATGCTTCCGATGTCGGTCCGCTCAGTCCTGCTGGGTGGAAGATCCCATGGGCAGCAAAGGCCTTTGGGCACAGCAGTGTTGCAGGCCAGCTGCACAGGGCTTTGAAGGCTTCTCGTAGCACAAAGAGCTCGTGCGCATCAGAGGCCTAAGCCTTGCGGCAACAATCAATGCTGGGTTCCACCAATGTACACCTACGAGCCCAAGCCTTTGTAAATGGTGGGTGCTTAGCATGACATACGAGCTGGGTCCTGCTTGTTTCAAGACCCGGGGGCTTGTGTAATTGACGGCCATGCACCGCAGCTCTGCCGAGCGTTTCTGCGCTGCCTGAGGTTCTGCTGCCACGAGCCAAGTTTGAATTGTGAGCATCCCCGAATTTGGCTTTGGCCGTGGCTAGATGCAGGTGATGAGCCTGCGTGCAAGTCCCTGATTATGGAGGAGGCGATGTGGGCCACTGTTTGGGCTTTCTAGCTGCTTTCCATACATCAGACGGTGCAATGGCCCAGACATGTGTGTGAGTGCAGGTGAAGCGCGCCCTTGATTTGGCAGTCAAGGCTTTCGGCGCAACGGGTAGTAGGAAAACTCTGTCCTCATGGTGGTCTCGTGGGGATGTTGTGAGTTGGCAAGTTAGACAACTGCTCGACGTTCCGGTAAGGGTTTTTGTCATTCTGATCTCCATAGCTGTCAGATGGGGCTTCTAGAGTAGGTCAATCTTTCAACATGAGCCTCGCCGGTGTGTGGAAATCAGTCTTTTCACCTTTATCAGACCCAGAGAAGAGGGGCATCAGATTTTGGATTGCTGCAATTCTACGTCAGTTTCTGCCGGACACGAACGCATCCCTGCTGGCCTTCCGAGCAGCGCCGGAGGCCAATTTCATGAGTCAGCTGCGGGTGTTGTGGCTTTACAGTTCCTCAAAAGCCCTCCAAGCCTACTTTCTCATCCAAACAATTCCGCGGTTGAAATCCACTGCCCTGTTGGTTGCAACAGCTAGGCGCTGTGAATTAGGTTTCAAATCTTACGCCACTCTTGATGCGAACGTCCTGGTTCCTTCCAAACTTGCCTGTACACAGGGAGCCATGAACTTGAAGCCAATCCAGCTATGCAGTTGCGCTGGCAGGCATTCCGCAGCATGCGCTCGCTGAAGGCGCAGCTTGCCACACCGGCGCAGGTCCAGCAACGTGACGTGCAAATGTTGGGTCATAAAGTGCAAGGCAGATCTGTCAAAAGCATGCCACAATCAGGGCAGCATTTTGGCAATAACAATTGTTGCTTGATGATGGTAATGCGGGATATGAGGTCATTAGAAGACCTCTCAGCATGGTCATGACATGTGCAAGAACTTCCTTACGCTGGTGAGTCTCGTTGGAGGCATGCACCTGCAGCATCGCCTTCGCTGTTGCAACGCTGTTGTGGTATTCTGAGGATACATCTCACGTGCGACATGAGCCTACACCGGTGAAATCTGTTATCATTGAGACATGTTTTGCATACCATGACAACTGCTGCTGTTGCTGCATGTCTCTGTCGCGGAGTTATACTTGCGTGCTCGAATGCTCATCATAGTTAGAGCAGCAGCAAGAATCGTAGTGATGATTCCAATGCCGGGCTTGATCTCTGTGCTTGCTTCAGTGCTTGACAAATCCACCTTGGGTCCCAAGGATGCCATGCTTGGATTTCAGGTTTGGGATTGCCATTATTCTTTATCATTATTATCCATACCATGTTTTTTTCTGCTGCTGTGTCTACTCTCACTCCCTCGTCGTACGGTTTCTGTCTTAGCATTGATGTGATAATCGTGTTGTTGGTCATGACTCATTACAGTTATTTCGCTTGTGTTTGCAGAACTACGTGTGGCATTTCTGTCACCGTGATCTTTTTCAATTTTTCCAACATTTGTCGCGCTTGCTTCATCGCATGACAGCGGATTGTAGAGTAGTAAAGGCGGTTGGTTGTTTACTGAACGATACGGGGCATCCTAAAAAAATGGGAAGGATATCTGCGAAACCTGCAAAACGATACGGGGCATCCTAGGCTGATTCCCTCTTTACCACGAACCAGTCATTTTGACACCGGTTCAAATAATTCCATGGAACCCCATACAACCCCTAACGTAATTCCTCTATCATGCAATGAGCGCCCATTAACACCGGTGATGTGCTGGCAATTTGCAGAGGACAGCAAGGTGTTGGATGCGGCTATCAAGCCGAGGCAGCGTGGGAAAGACTTTTTGTTTGTGTTTGGGATTTATGCTGATTCAGCACCCTCATAGTGAGGTTGCCACCTTCACGTTTGATTTCCTGAAGTCAGAGTATTCAATCGCCGAGTATCCCTGGCCACCGGCAGGGGGTATCCCTGCAGGGCCCCAACTGAATAACACCTATGTCAAACAGATTAGAACCTGTTCGGCACTAACTAAAACCCAATGTAAACCAAATTCGATCAAAACTAACATCTACTTACCCCCATCAAAATCTAGTTCATTACTAACAAAAACTGTTCATCAGTCAACATCTACCTCAAATCAAGTCACTGACCAAATACAGCCCTTTAAACTCAGATGCCGAGTATCCCTGGCGTGATTTGGCGTGCCTACCCGTAGAGTATGCCTGCAGTGCCCAATATCCCAGCCCTGCCCAACCGCAGAGTATGCCTGCAGTTCCAGAGTATCTCTGCAATGCTATGGTGCTCAACCACAGAGTATCCCTGCACCACCAATCTTAGAGTATTTCCGGGGTGCCCCAAAAGTGGCCTTGCCCAATGCCAGAACATCACAAAACTAGCTCCTTGCAGCTTGCAAGAGTCTCTGTTTATCAATATAGTGTGCTGGGCTATGAACAACTTCCGGGACCACTTGGTCCAATGAATCGGAGATTTGCAAGCGCGCACCGGGGGGGGAGGGTGTTCAGATACATGCATTTCAGTCATGATTTTGCAGACTTGCATTGCAAGATTTCATGTAAAAACTGTCCGGCTCGTCTGCTGTGATCTAGCTTTCATCCGCGCTGCTCTCCAGTTATTCTCGATTGCTTAGCCCCAGAGTCTCCCTGCCGCACCTGACCCCAAAATCTCCCTTCGTCCCGTACCCCACTGCAAAGCATAACTATGAGAATCCAAGCCTCACACAAGCCACCCCACCACCCTAACGGTAATGCTTGGAATGTATCGTTTTCATTTCTGCAGGCTCGTACAGCGTTTTTGAATTACATTGCTGATGCTCCTTGTTGCTGGCTGTATCTGATGATGCCCTGCAACCACAAAAAAGTAGGAGTGGGGATGTGTGAAGTAGATAGCCTGCAGCAGGTGCGGGCATTTTGTTTGTTGGCTGTTGGAAGGCGCCAGTCACCGCTAGTCCAATTAGAAGAAAGCAACCAAATGTGGCACAGTGCTCTGCGGCATCTTCAAATGTGCCCGCTCGCATTACCTCCCCCATCAAGGAGCTGTTCTGTGTGTGATTGCTAGGATGGCTTGAATGCAGACAAGTCGCAGCAGGTGGTTTCTGGATGGCATGGACTGGGGCGACATGCTGTCTGAGGGCTGGGGGAGCATCTTCAAGCATAAGCCCCAGTGAATCAACCTTTGGATCAGAGTCGTTGTTATCTTCGTCATCGTCCCCGAGCAAACGAAGGAGCAAACAATTCTCTCTGTGATGATGCCGCTTGTTGAAGTCTGACAAACGTTAGACCGTTAGGTCAGGCGTAAATTTTGCGTGGCTACTTGAGGTGGCTGGATCGCTTCCCAAGTGAACAAGATACAGGCAGGCCTTTCTGCCACGGTGTGGACATATCAGACGCTACCGTTTTAAAGTGTCTTTCGTGGATTCTAGCGGCGCCGCCTGGTCAAGATCTGCTGTAGCATCTTTTTCTCGCTGCTTTGTCTTTGGCCAGGCTTGCCAAGGTCTGTAGTAGTCCCAGTCCTGAGCAGCGGGCAGGTGCAGAGGACCAGCCTTCGGATCCACGCAAGGCAATGCTACATGACACATTGAGTCCCAACTGTGCAAAGCCTCAGCCCCATGTGTTCACAGTAGATAGTAGTTCGTATTTCATTTTTGCTTCTCCAACGTATGGGGTAACAATCCTTAAGTTTGCAGTGCCAGGGTTTCGAATCGCTGGCCGAGCGCCGGCAAAGCCTGCTGCGATTTATTCGATCAGAGCAGGAAAAGGCGAGGACTTGACAGTGCTTTACATGATGTGCAAGCTCCAAAGAAGGCAAAAGTGAGTTCATGGGTGCTTTGAGAGTCCATTTGATGAGGCTCGTGACATCGTTGGGGCAATGGAATCCAAAACATTTGGCCAACGGCCAAGATTTCCGGCCCCGGATCTTGACAGTTTCAACTGCTTTCTCCTGCCAAGGTCTGCTGTCAATTTCAGAGGTCATCCGTGAGCTGCGGGGACAAGGTGTGTTCAAACGGGTGGGACTCTCAGCTGAGCAATTGATTGCCCTGCCTGCTGCGACACCCTAAGGTCTGGGATCAGGTCCTTTTGGACATGGACTGGCGAAGAAGAGTTTCTTGGCAACATGCTATGCGGCGCTTTGTGATCGATGCTGCCGCTGCTGCTGCTCCTGCTGAGGGTCAAAAGTGCGTGGTGGCCAAAGAGCGAGACAAATCCGGGAGGCCTCGGCTGACTTTCCTGTTGGCATGGTTGTCTACCAACATCCGATGCTGTTGGTGACACTTGGGGGTCACCTGCCGCAACAGCTCCATCAAGTGGGTTCTCGTCCAATGTCAGGGTCCCCTCATCCTCAAGATATTGAGTTGTTGACTAGGGGAGCCTGAAAATATAGGGCACGCGCAGGTGGCTCAGCTGTGAGCCCTGGGACTACCAAATGACGGCCAACTTCTCCTCCCTGCTGCCATCCCTGGAGGATCGAGACGGCCAGACCTGCCTTCAGTCTTCAAGCTGTGTGTTCCCTAAGTGCGGAACTCCTGAGGTTATGGTTGTTCGTTGTAGGCCCGAAATTTTGAGAACCCTGGCAATGAGGACCCCCCCAAAGAAAGAGCTTATGATTCTGCAAGCATCCCAACAAGTTGGCCCTGGGTGGGTTTGGCACCGTCAGCCTTCAGGCTTGGGTGACGGTCTGGGAAAGTCCAATGTGGCGGTATGTGCGGATGCCTCGGTGTGACGACGGGATACGCTTCAGAGGAATGATTGTGGTCACTGCCACTGCAGACTTTGCATACAGTTCAATTCTTTGAGTGCAAATACAAACAAGACTTCAGGGTGTGAGAGCATCGGCCAGGATGTGGAGCGTTCCACCTTCAAAGCCCTTGACACCAAGGTCTTAGGTGCTCCTCGTACAGTGGTCAAGACCTACGAGGGCATACGCGAGCAGGCAGGTCAAACATGCAACACATGCAGCTATGGTGAAGGCTGATACTTCCAGCTTTGCACGAACGCATCCTCATGTTTGCCGTGCAGTTTGTACTTTGCCGATTTGCCGGTCATTTACTTGGAACTGTGCCTTAAGTTTGGACCGGATTCTGTGAGCGTGCTCCAGGTAGGTTTACAGCTTTCGACAGGTGGTTGGAGCTCTGAATGGCGATACCTTCATCTTTGCCTCCCTGCGCACGTTGGCAAGAGTCAGGGACTGTTCGCAGAGGTTCATGTAAATAGATGTCCCCAATCTTGCATGCTAAAATTGCCTTTGGCCAGGTGCCCTTCTTAGACATCTTCACCCCCTCTTTGGAGGCACCGTCTGCACATCCTGCACTGGGGATTTGTGCGTAAGACCTTGAGCCTGCTGCCAGGAGGACCTCAAGGCCTTGGGCCGGGCCGCCTCAGCCTCAGCGCTCGTTTTGCAATGAACCCGCTCTTCCTTCTTTTCGGAGCTATGACATATGCGCTGATGTTCTTACACTGTGTCATTTTGGAGGTGACCGCAATTGTTGTTCCAGACGTGAACAGGACCACCTTCGAGGCCTTGCTGCCTGAAGCTCTACCCAGCAATGGCTTATGCAAGCTTAGTGCTGCAGAGCCGGACCTTCGGTGAGATGCACGACCCGAGACTCTGGATGCCTGGCCGGCCTTTTATTGGCGTTGCTGACGAAAGCTGTGAATCCCGGAACTGGCCAGGCTCTATGCCAAGGCCAATGGTCCTTGGAGGGCCCCGCTCTACCGGCAAATGGGCAGCAGCATGTTAGAAGCTGAGAGCCTCGAATATCACTGCAGATTTTGATCACCCATGCAATTTGTTTCTGAGGTGGGGGTATCACAACCAACATTGCTGCCGCAGGCTGTGGGAGTGTTGGGCATCTCTGCCCTCATCTGTGACTCTGTTCACAACTCTAAGTAGTTTGTTATCTCGAGGATGGTGGAGTCCTTCGAGAAGCCAAGCTGCACTTGCTAAGTGAACTAAGCTATGAGCTGGACAGTTTGTCTGAGCCATGATGCTGCCATCAGCTGAGGCAGCAGCGAGGTTGGGAGTATGAGTGGGTGGCCTGGGCCCAACAGACGGCTTACCTCGCACGCGGGCTCAACGCCACGCGCGAAGGTCTTTGCCCGAGCAGAAATGATCTGGGTGCAGCCTCATCCGCCGATCCAGGCCCTGCTGTGCTTTGCCTTCTTGGGTTCTTGGGTTCTTGGGTTCTTGTGTGGGGATGCCTAGAAGCTGGCTGGCACCAGGTCCTGAGCCCCCAGTATGTGCACATACCGATGGGTCAGGTCTGGAGCTCTGTTCACTGATTGCCTGCAGGAAATGTGGGAAGCAAGATCTTGCCAGGACAACAGTTATTACAATTTCAATGATCTGAAGGGCATCAATGCGCGGAGCTTAGTGTTTGGATATCAGGACAGTCCCGCTGGCCGACTGTGCTTCGCGCTCACAGGACCGGCATGCGGTGGTACCTAAAAGATGGTTCAAGTCCTATTTCAACCGGTGGGAAGCAGGCAACTCAGGAGCTCGTTGCTTTACCGCCTACTTTTTTGTAGTGCCGTGATGTGCGGTGGCACCCAGCTGCACCCATGTTGCGCCCAGTGCCTCCTCGACGGGCGCGCCTGGAGGTACTTGGCCAAAGTTGCCGAGGCCACAACCTGCCTTTGTGAGGCCACTTTGTCCAACAACTAAAAACTGCGAATGGTCTAGGCAGGCTACATGATCAACACAGAGCAGTACTTGTGGCTTCACCTGCAAGCGGAGGGAGCAGCTCGGCAAGACAAGAAAGAATTCCAGCCTTCACCGCTGGATGCATCGCATCAGTCTTCTTTCCTCGCCGAACCTGTAAGGGTCCCTTGAGGTGCAGGTTCGAAGATTTCCTCCCGTCTCCTTCTTGTCGCATTGCCCGGGACTCAACACGTCAGGATGTATACTGAAATACCTGAAGATGTTTGGTCTTCATGAGCTCGCGTTGTTTTAGGACTCAGCTTTGCCCACAGGTTAGTCAGGAGCTGCTCCGCCCAAGAAAGACAGTATCATGTTATTCTGAGCATCTGCAAGCATGACTCGCAGTTTTGAAAATTCGCCAGAATGGATCCGGACCACTTGAACCCTCTAAGGCACAGAAGGTCCTCAGTGCCAACATCTGTACAAGGGCACTGACTTAGGGAAGCGACCTGGCCTGGAGTTATGGCGCCAACATGTCTTTGCACCTTGGCTTTCAGTGTTACAGATCCTGAAGCTGTACACCTTTCCAAGGGTTAGATGGACGCAAACGGCAAAGTACTGGACCGAGCTGTTGGAGTCGCGGCGAACCATCGTGGATGTCGCATCCTCAGCCTTCAGGCTTGCACATACTCAAGGTTTCTCTCCAAAGCCTAGCAGCATGTGCTGCATATTGCTGCATCGAGCAAGGGAACCGATTATCTTGGTGTCGACCCTAAGCAGAGGTCGACCCCACGAGCCGCCAAGGGCCAAGGGTATATGAGAGATCCAAAAGGGCTGCCGCGCTGCGGCTAAAACGCGAAAACGATGCTGCACCCTCCAGTTTTCGGGAGGAAGCGCAACTCCAGTGTGTGAACGCTCAGCGTGAGAGCTGCGTGCAGATGCCTTTTGTGAAGTTACCGCAATTTTTCCACCTTGAACAAAAGATGCCTCTCGTTGCTCACACACTGCTTTGGGGAAGCAGCATCCAGTCTTTGGTTGCTGACTCTTCCCGGCATTGATGACTTGTAGAGTTGCGTTACGTGCTGGGTCAGCTTGCACTCCTAGGATACTGTGCAAACAGCTGGGCTTCCTGTGTTAGCCTGCAAGCACCACACGGACATGCAGCTACCCTGGGCCAGTCTCTTCGCTGTGCAATGCCTGCCCAGGACTTCCACTATGTCAAACGGGGAGAAAGAGGCTGGATCTGGGTCCCAGTTTGGCCCCACACGCACTGGCACTGTGCTCAGAATTCCACCAGCATTTTTGCTTCGATCGAAGTGAGCGCCGTTGCTGGCACCTGTGTAAGGATCTGGGGCTCAGTTTCCAGAGCGGACATGACCAAGCCTCTTCAGGACAGACTTTTCGGGATGTTAAAAAAAAACCGGGGTGCAGGCGTGGGTTTTCCAGACCTGACCGAATCTGAGTTGAAGAGCGAGTTCCACAGTTCCACATTTCCGCTCAGACAGTTTTCAAAATGAAATTGGAAATCTTAAGCGCCCTCGACCCTGTTTGAGACGAAGATCCCCACACCCAAGCTTGAACCACACAACTGCAGTTACATCCAACACTGCTCCTCTGCTCTCGCTCATTCACCTTGCCTGCCCTACAAACTCCTCAGAACTGGGTATGTTGTAGACCCCAGAGTATTTGCATGTGCGGAGAGGATATGGGTTGGGGAGTAGCAAATCGAGGTGTGTGGGGGGGTAGCGGATGGAGGGAGGCCCTGACAAATGGTAGAACAATCATGGAGAACCGTGAGAATGAGGAAAATGAATGGAACATGCTGAAAAGTATTGACAAAGATGAGGAATCACGGAATCTGATGAGAGTGATGCAACATGCTTAGAATGATATTTCATGATGAACAATGCTGAAAATGATTTGAACATTTTGCAAACTGGTGAACGATGATGAAACTTATTAATGTGATGAGCAATGACGAACATGATGGAAATTGGAGAAAGATGATGAGATGAGATGTAATGCAATTTATTGGAAAGCGATGGACAACACGCAAACAGCCAGTAAGACATGATGGACGAATCTTCGATAATGCGGACATGTTATGGACGATGATGAAGAATGATGAGAGGTTATGAGCAGTAAATCGTGAATTTATGATTTAGTTTAGCAGGGGGGTGGGGGGTGGGCATTCGCAAGTCATGTAAACATGATGGAAACAACGAAGCCTGATAGAATATTATTGATGAGCAATGCTCAACGTGAGCAAAATGATGAAAACCTTATGACTATGAGGAAAAACTCATGAACGTGACGATATATGATGGGAAATCTTGAAAGACGATGAACATTAGTGGAATATCATGTTGGACATCTATGAAACATTGATGAAGAGCAGTAGAAAACTATGGACAATGGCAAAACGCGATGAACCATGTGAACGGCGATGAACAATCATGAATTACGATGACACATGATGACATATGATAGACAGATGATGAGTAATGATAAAATGTGATGACAAAACCTGATGCACAACTATGCATAATGGGAACACACGATGAAACCCGATGGTATATGATGAGCAAAACAAATAGCAGTATAAATAGTATAGCAGCATTCATCATAGATATGGGAGTTATATACTACTAGCCTACTAGCAATAACACAAATAGAACGAAGAACCTCCTCTGTGCATTGGTTTCTTTCGTCCTTCTTGCTATTGTTCTTTCTTCCTTCTTTCAGTCTTTGTTTGTTTGTTTGTTTGTTTGTTTGTTTGTGGTTTCGTGTCTTTCTTTCTTACATTCTTTGATTAGGATGATGACTCTGATTACGATGAATTCTATTCTTTATTGATTGCTTTTTGTTTTTCTCTTTGCGTCCGTCTTTCTTTCTCGATTTCTCTGTATATCTTTTTCTTTGTTTCAATCTTTCTTGCTTTCTTACTTGGTTTCTTTCTGTCCTTTTTCCTTGCTCTCCTCCTCCACACCAAACTCTTTTGTGCTTCCTTCATGGCCTTCATCTCGGAAGCAAGGCCCCTCGTCCCAAAAATGAAATGAAGGCCCAACAACAACAACAACAACAACAACAACAACGACAACAACAGCAACAACAACAACAACTGCTGCAACAACAATGCACCAGTAATGCACCAACAACTTTCTTCCTCAATTTGCATTTGACATATGAAGCCAACACGGGGATCATTTTTCTGTGATCCACTCAGAGAACAATCTCTATCACTTGTTTCAAGCGCAGGCAGGAGGAGTCATCGCATGTCGCAAATCGTTTCCAGCCTCGCCACGTTGCTCCAGGCAACAGTCCCATGTTCACGATGCTCGAATCGAATCTGTCGTTGGTTTTGGATCTTCGCGACTGTTGTAGCTGGACCCCTGAGGTTGCCATCCTCGATCTTGTTGTTGCTTCTGAACCTGTTCTGCGTGTGTCGTTGACATGCTGTTGCGGGCTATTGGGTGTGCCCTGAATCAAAGCAGCAGAAGCATGAATACCTCTATTGAGATGGCGATATCCAGTCATTCCCCGCATCATCCTTGACATGGTCAGTCGGGGCCCAGCGTTTAAAAAAAAAAAAAAAAAACACGCCAGATGACTTGCCAGGAACTGGAACCCCAAGAGTTGCTGAGCGCTGACGTGGCGCAGCTTCCCCAAACGAGTATTCGATTACAGGGGTCACTTAACATACATATGGGTCATGTAATTGTGTCGGCATTCTGTGTGTGAGGTTTGTTGCTGGTTTCACTTGGGTTTTCGGGCATTTATTGTGGCAGGCAGCGGATTGGGTTGCAGTGTCACGCTCGCCTCTTTTGCGGTCCAGGGACTTGGCGTCAGCACTCTGGGCGGCAGTGTCGCATCAACATGCTGCGGTGTTCAGTATGAATGCAGCTTTTGTTCAACAGAATTGTCCATTCAGAGCAATTGCACTCTTGGTTGGAGCTTGTTCATGGTCTTTTTGACAGTCACAGGGCTCCTGCACCTTTGCTTCTGTTGCAGAGCTGGATCCTTTTCGCATGAGGTGTGGCCTCTGCAAGCATGGCCCAATTTCGAGCGGCTTGTCTGTAATCAATGTTTTGAGTTCATTGCCCTGTCCACAGTGCATTTCAGTTTTAAATGAGCTTGAACGTATTTTGTGCAGCAAGAAAAGCATCGAGTGAACACCCTGCCTGCAAAGTTTGTTGACAAGGTCTGCGTTGGGTGTTTTTCCTGCGTTGTGAGTGCCACGCGTAGGCGGAGAAAGTCTGTACAGCTTAGCCTGCGGTACGAAGCTGCATCAGCCGGGGTTGTGACCTCCTGCAGATCCAAAGATTCATACTTCGTCGAGTTCTGGGATGTCACAGGTTGATGTCCAGGTTGGCAGTGCAGTTCGTTCATGTCGGGTGGGGTCCTGCTCAGCGCTTGAGAGAATTTGGAAGTTACTATTGCATATACAGGTGTCAGTACTGCTTTATGCGTGCTTCCGCCCTGACTTGGTCAATGTTGCTGGCTTTCGGTCCAGACACAGCTTCGGGTTTTGGGAGAGCTGGTGCCAAATGGCACATCTCAGCATCTCTGCCACGTTTGGGATGTCTTTGTAGATCTTTGCAGTACTTGTGCAGCACTCCGCACGCAGCGAGTTGACGTGGTCTCCTGCCAGGATAGCGATTTCCTCCGCTAGTGAATCGGCGCTCCAGCCAGTCGCAAAAATGGCGAGGCACGAACACTCATGCGTCACAAATGCAGACTCAAACTAGTCGGGGAACATCTTTGTAAAACAAGTGACTAGACCTGCCGGGAGAAATTTCGGTTCCACTGGTGTAGAATTTGTTTGGTTTTCATTGGAAAGTTACTGCAGAAGCCAATTGCAGGTGGCAGGCGCTTCTCTTCACCCTGCTTCTTCGACTGTGCAGAACTGCCGGGGACTGAAAGGGATTCTGTAGTTGAGATGGCTCAGAGAATCTCCCTGTCTGCAGCTTTGCATGTTTGGTCCTGTGCTCACGGGGGGACGTGTGAGATTTCAAGCTTGCAGGAAGATCCGCTGGTTCCACCTGGTGGCAAGTTCTCCTGGGGGCTGCCTGGCAGCACATGCTTCTGATAAGCTTTCAATTCTGCATATGCCACATGCAGACCGCTTCTTGGCTGTTGATGGGCTTCCCATGCATGAGAGCACTGAAGGCCACACGACCCCTTCTACACATGGGCGCCAGCCTGAACTTTTTAAGAGCAGCTTTTGTGGTTTGGACGCAATGTCGGGCGCAGCTTTTTCATGCCGAGGGACAAGGTCAGCAGGCCAACCAGCAGCCGGCCAACCCAACGCTTAATGTGCTGCACTCAGGCAGACCGTATCTTAAATCAAAGTCACTCTTTGCGCATCTCCAAGGTAGTCCACCCTGTGCTGCTTCCCAACCCGCCGGCTCCACCTCCCAGCACTACGGCGGGGAACTTTTGGGCAGGCTCCTTCGGGGGTGTCGAAGTGTCGAGGATTTGCGCAAGCAGGTGCATAAGAACTTGTGCCAGGCACTGCAGCACCGCAGACGCCAGCTCCGTTTGTTCCGCCGACCCCGCAGCCTACACAGCCTACAACTCCTCAGACCACCCAAAGGGGTCCGCTGCCTCCGGGTGCAGAGCGGTGCCCTCAGGAAAGCGTCGAATCACAGCCATGGCCATGCACATCTGCTTGTAGCGCGGCTGCAAATCGGGAGAGCAGCCCTGCAGCCTTAGGAACGTCCAGTGGATCTCTGGCATGGCTGCCACCACGAACCCACCAGCGGTCTGGTGCCCAGAGCCTGGAGTTTACATGACTTTGCCCGCATAGCAGGTTCAGATGTAATGGAGGATTATCATGTTTGATTTCGCATGCTGGTATGCAATGCTGCCTGCTCCACCTGTGTGCATTTTTCCAGCACCTCCAGGACGACATAGACCTTCCACAGCCTCCTGCGCCGCAGTTCACGGTGCTGTCCCTGGAGTAGAAGGGTCGCGGTTATTTGTCGCAGACCACGTCACACGTGACTATGGGATCTGCTTCAAGTCATTGCATGAGGTGGAAAGCTTCTTGCCAACGGACTCTCCGCTAGCTGGATGCCATGGCTACGAGGTGTGGAGCCCGGTTTTCTGCAAAATCCTGGATGGCAGATCAACAGATGGCGGAACCCCATGAAATAGCGATACATGCTGACTGCAGGAGCATTGGGCTCTCTGTACGCCAGTTCCCCAGCGTGACTGTGGGCTGGAATGACCAAGTAGTCCTGCTCTTCAGACCCTTGGCATACCGTGTTACTACAGCCTTTCTGTGGCTGACGGCATCTTCGCAGGGAGACGGCATGCAGCAACTACGCTCAGCCTAGAGACTGCGCCTGGGGGGCTTCGGCCTAAGCAACGTCGCTGCTTTTCAGCGGGCGATGTAGCAGTTCATCCTTCTCTGCACAGAATCCGAGGTCTGGGGTCAGTGGGAATCGTTCGGAGGCCGCTGCAGAACTCTTGCCGTTTCTGGGGCGTTGAAACATTACCACGGAACAGTACCACAGGACAGAGCTTAAGCACGTGAAAAGGTTGACAGATACTGCAGCTTTTCTTGATCCTGAAGCCTTTGCCAACCCCTGATCTTGCCTCGAGGCTGTTCCGGCCTGGGCATTCGCAGCCGCAAGATTGCCACGCCACCTGTTGAGCAAGAAGTGGGTTGTTTTTGCGTTCAAAGTGGAGGTAAAGGCAGTTTGTTGCTGTAATTCATCTGTTTAGCGGCAAGAGCAACAGTAGCTGCTGATAGCAAAGGCAGCTAGGTAGAAGCAAACAGAACTATGTGTGTTTTGAGGCCTTCGTGTTTTATGACTAGTGTCAGCCATCACAGCCAATGTGCTATGTTAATCTTGTGATCCTTTCGGTTGATGTGTTTTGCTTTGTTCGTCATGGCCGTTGCTGTAGCTGCTTCTTCTTCTTTCTTATGTTCAGGGCTGAATCTTTACTATCACATTATATTCTTTTCCATGGCCCGTATATCTTCGCTCCAATTCGAGAAGTCGACATGTTTGAGAGGAGGTCATGGCTGTGGGCATGTGGTAAGATTAGCAGTTGCTGAAGCCGTCGTATGTTTCATTGCTGCTGTTGTTGCTCATAAGGCTGGATTGCTGCTCCTCCTGATCCTCCTGTTGCTGCTTCTGCTGCGGCTTGCCCTGCTGTTACTGCCTCGCCTACTGCTGAAACTCACTACTGCCAGTTTTCTGATTACTGCGGCAACAAAAAGGAAGACCACGACTGCCACTATGATGATCTATCACCGCCACTAGTGCGGCCACCTCCGCTACCAGCACCAGCACCACCACTTGCACCAGAACCTGCACTAGCGCCTGCCTGCGCCAGTGCCTGCGCAGGCGCTGACGCACGCGCGCATCACCAGCAGCACAGCAGCACAAGTAGTAACACCAGCACCACAAGCATGACCAGCACCAGGGGCATCATTATGATCACCAACACTACTGCAGCCGCCACTGCCCCCGCTGCCTCCAACGCCGGCCAGTGCCAACACCACAGCTGCCGCTACCGTTGTTGCTGCGCTAAGTCCATTAGTGAGTGCATATTGCTACATTCGTGGTTCTCAAGCCTGCAAGGATGAATACTGAAGGCGGAAAGCCTTGCAGTGGTGTCAAGGCACGCGGACGGGGGGATCTTGCTGGACGATGACCTAGATGTTGGTCTTGATTTTTGATGCTCCCCTCCTTAAAAGAGTTGCTTACAGGTCATGTCTCTGAGGCTCATTGAAGAACTTTAGACTTGATATTCTCACTCGAAAGCTAGGCATGCTGCGCAAGAGAATCGCGAAGGAAGAGACGATGCAAATGGACGTCTACTTCGACGATGACTGCCTCATGGGCAACCGAGCAGTCACCTCGGATCACCTGCTTGCGAAGCCAATCTCATGCATGCTAGGTCTTTTCAGCAGTATCTGGTCCAGCGTCTGCAGTTCAAGTGCCGCATCAAAGCTTGGTATCGTTGTTGCGACCAATGCGCTCTGCAAAACCTAGGGCAGGTGCAGCACGTATGCCATGAAAGCACGACGAATACACTTCAGAACAGGACTGCGACTGGTCCCCATGGACGGACTGGAGCCACTGTGGCTGTGATGTTTGTGGGGAGGACTGCTTTCAAGGGCATGTGCTTCAGAGGTGTTGATTGTTGGGGGAAATGGGGCGCTTGGAACAGGATCGAAAGGCACAGACAGTGAGATATCGGCACATTGCCAACCAGGCAGGAGGACGCGCGTAGCTGTTGCCTACATGATTGAATGGAATATCAGAAAAGCTCGAATTGTGTTGCCGAAGCTCAAGATTGTCTCTCCCGACTTCCACAAGTGAAAAAAGTAAGATTTCTTGTGCGAGGTCTCCCCAGAAACATTTTTCAGTTTGTAAAGGTCAGGCTAGAAGCATTATCGGGGTAGCAGACTTCATTCAGGTTCATGCATTGTGATTCGGCCACCAGGCCTTGGGCACCGGCGAGGCGTGCTCTGGGAAGTTCAACATGCTGGGGCCCTGGCTGCGTAACCTGAAGGAATGGAAAAGAAAATGGCAACGATTATAATGGGTCACATAGAGACTACTATAAGGATCCAGTGCTTCATTTAACCAAAGGTAAGGTAAGAGTGCTCAACGAGTCTTGCACTGTTGTGTAGCCCCTGTTCGTGGAAAAGTGCAATGCGGCTACATTGATGGACTTTCTCTGGTCTGTGTGAGCTACCACGTCAGTATTCTGCACTTGCAGGGAGAATTTGCTCAAGTTGATTTTGAGAGGCACCAATTCGGAGGCTATGAGAATTCTACAGCAAAATCCTTGCATGATCTTGACGGGCAGACACTGCTCCAGGACGAAACCATGTGGCTTCGAGGTTCCCGTGACGTGTGAGTGCCTGCCCTGGCAGCCTGGACTCTGCATGGGAGTATAAATCCTCACTGACGGCATGCCTCAACAAAAACGGAGGCTGAGCGAATGGGGCCAGTGGTGGCCACCCCAGTGCATTGTTTCAAGTTGTAGGGAGATTCGGGTCCACCCCTAAATCTGACATGTGCGTCACTGCGTATGCTTCTTAGGGAGGCTTTTTCAGTGGGTTGTTGTGGTTTCGAGGTTTGGGTCTACTTTTTACAGGGGACGGGGGGTGGTAGTGGTTGTTGTAGTTTCGAGGCTTGGGTCTACGATCTACCAGGGTTTGTGAGTGAGAACATGGTGCACGTGGCTCCCTGATTTAGCCTGGACGCCTGGTGCCTCAGGACACGCTGTAGTGCCACCTGTGGTGGTGGTGTGCGAGCCAGTATGCTGCCAGCCCAGACAGTCTGCTGCACCATTGTCAGACCTGTCTAATTGCAGGACATTTCGGAGAAATCCAAAACCCCCAGAACACTTCTATTCGATTGGGAGAAAGCATTTGACAAGCATCACAACATAAAAATGCTCGAAGTGTTGCGTCGCTTGCAAGTCTTAGGTTAAATTTGCAGGTTGATCAAGGACCTTAGCGCGAATCTCCAACCCAAAGTGTGTTCTGGTCAGAAGGAGTCGGAATAGAGAGATCAAGACTCTGGAGATAGACTAGGTGTCCTTTCTTTCTCGCCATAGTTGTCTGTGTTAGTTATGGGGGCCTTGTTTGAAATTGCAGCCCATAGAATAGATGGTGTCTACTTGTCCGGATTCCTGTTTGCAGACGACACGCTCATATTTGACGCCAATACTCAATGCATAGATATGCCGCAGCGCATGCTATAGACTGAAATCAAATTATAGGAAATGTGTCAACATTACAGCAAATCAGAGGACATCATCTGTACGCTTTTCTCTGGAGGGACCGGCCGCAGGAAGACTAGCCTCAAGGCAAAGGTCAGCCACATGCTTAGGTACAGTATTGACCGACACGTTCGACCATAAAGCGGACATGGCTAATCAGTTGGGCGATTCTATAAGATCTTTTGTGCAAAGGATAGTACATCTTTTGAACCCAAAATTCTAGTACTCAATGCAATTACAAGTTCGGACTTATTATATAGTCTTGAGTGTATACAACTGACGGGCACTGACATCTTAAAACGGAAGACGTTTCAAAGCAGCAGCTTTCGACATATCCTTAGAAATTCTCCCACATTTCCAGATAGAGTGCAAACACATGAGCGTGTGTATCAGGAAATGAGCCAAATTGACTATTGCAAATTTGGCATTTAGGTGAAACATAGAAAAAGCTAAATTCAAACAGGTCAACTCTAACATCATCAAGCTGTGACCCGTTAAACTAGGTCCTAGGTAGTGCTTCACTCAGGCAGTTTATGACCCATGACAGTTTTGGCAAGGAGAATGGGTCGCTCCAAGTTACTGGAGACATATGCAGACGCATATATGCGCGTAGAATGACCATGAATGACCCATAGCCGCATTCGATCCCAATAATACTGCACATCTGGAGACAGTCAAACAAAAGCCTATTCAAAGGCTTGATCCTTTCTAGTGCCAATGCTGGTGCACAAAGGCTGTCAGCCTTCTCCTGGTAATAGGCGAGGTAATTCTATCGCAATTGACCTGCGCTGCTGCTGCGTCTTTCTCGCGGTGCGTGGTGGGTAACATGCCACGACCGGGTACCGTTGACGAAACCTTAGAAACCCTAAAGTGGAACCCGTACCTTAAAGAAAACCCCGACCTAAACCTAAGCTTCGTTTGAGTCAAGTCACATGTGTGTATATACATACTTCTTCGCCTTGGGAGTTCAGTTTGCCCGGTTCTGGTGGCTCGAAAATTGTCTGTCTGATTGACTCTGCTGGAAGTAGTGCTGTGGAATTCTGCTAGCCGGAACCTCTTGTGGACCTTTCGGTTTTGCTGCAGGTTGTGGGAGAGCTCTGAGCAGTCAGAGGAGGGTAACTTTTGAATGTCTGAGGCGTCGCGTGTCAAAGGAGGCTGACTATGGTGGACTTGCCTGCGTCGCCTCTTTGAGGCCAGACACTGTGCTGATGGCAGTTATTTGGTTTGGCTTTTGGGCCTTTTGACTCGCTTTTCAGCTTTCGCTGGCAGGAAGACAGAGACCTGCAACACGCAGCCATGCCAACACAATCAAGACTGCGTTGTCTCTGAGTGTGGCACTCAGTACAGGAAATTTCCTGGCAGCCTTTGTTGCCTTGAGCGGAGTTCAAGAGTTTCCATAGGTGGCCAGAGGCCATTCCAAAAGGAGTCCATGAGCTCCCTTCGCATCTTCTGGCAATCAGGTGGGGCGGCTGGCACGGCTGCGAAGTGCAAGGCCATGTTGCAGGTTGCAGTTTTTGGGCACATTTGGGCACGTTCATCTTATCCTTCCCAGCCGTAGACAAACACTGCAAGGCTGGTACTTGTAGCACCGAGGACCGAGCTCCCTCCGTTGTGTCTCCCTGTTGAGGTGCCATGCAGATGACAAGGCAACGGCGAATTGAGACCTATGCTGAGGCAGGGGGTTTGGAGAGTGCAAAACGCAGTTTGCAGCTTTGGCGCGGGAGTGTCGGTTCCTGGCCTCAGGGCGATGGCAAACCCTGCGACGCACCGCTCACAGAGACCGCCGGTTGTGAGGGGCGTGACGAACTCCAATGGTGCCCTGGCGGGATCGATCATAGTTGAGCAATGCTGGAGACCATTTAGGTATGTTCACGTAGGGACTTTTTTATAGCAAAATCTTTGTCGATTATGCGCGCACAGACTTTGCAAAAGGGCTGTGCATCGGCATGAACATGCGTTTGTGGGAGTGTGTTGAGGCCGTGGCGTGAGAGGAGGGTTTGCAGAGCATGGCTCAGCCAGGACTCCCATATAAGGAAGCCAGAAAAGCTTGTTATTATTTTTGCTATTATTACTGTTACTAGTATCACAAGTATTACTCCTTTCATCACGATTATTATATACTGTCATTGCTGTTATTCTTCTTTTTGCTGCTAGTCTGATTCCTAGGTGTTTCACCACCGAGTGGAGTCATTGGTCCGCCTGCCCGGTGGCATGCGGCGGTGGCCAGCAACAGCGAGTTGGAACCCCAGGGCAGACAGGTTGTTTCTGATGGACCACGGCCATGAAGCAAATGGTTTGCGGCGGGTTTCAGCTTGTAAACGGTCTGCTGTAGACCGTCTCAGTGGGTGTGCTGTTTCATGTAGAATGGGATACTTCTTGTCAGTCACGGCATCTCAGCGGCGAATCCTCTTGCGTTCCGCTGCACCCTCAGAGCAGCTGCTGAAGATGTGGCTTGTGGCTTGGGACGTACTGAGTACCGCAGGATGGCAAAGCAGGACTTGAAGGAAGTGCGTGGTTGCAACGTCGACTCCTGTGAGGAGAACGAGGGTACAGGCCTTTGATGTTCTGCGCATGGCTGGTGCAAGGGAGGTGTCATGTTTTTGGGATTGACAGGGGTTTAGGTTGAGGTTTCAGCAAACACCCAGGGCCAGGCCAATCAAAACCCCACCTGCAACAAAGCTAAGCAGCTAAGGTTGTATCTTGTCACCCTGGACATCGTGGGGGGAGTGCTCGCAAGACTGTGGCGCTGGAGCCTGCACACTCAGCTGCTGAAGGCGTGTCTTTTGTACTTAAGGACATCCTGTGCAAACTCCAGGCTCCAATGCCAAAAAGAACTTTATGATACTGACGCATGTCTTGCTTGGCAAATCTTGCTGGCCTGAGGTTTCTGTTAGAAGCCGATCCATTGACCAAAGCGCCGGCGATGGAGGTGAGTCCAAGAAGACTGGCGTTGCTCATGGGGCTGAAACTAATTCCTGGAAATGCAGACCTGTTGGCAATGCTCATAGAATTGTGTTTGGTCAGGGTGCAGAAATTAGAGGCTTCTCATGCCGTGTGCTTGCTCTACGGACTGTCTTTGTCTCCGACATCTCTGGTGCAGGCAAGAGCTGCCATGCCTCGCTGAAGGAGATGCAGGAGTGCATGCGGGAGCCCCTTCCTCGGCAGTGAAGCGGCATGGACACTATCAAAGCCCGTGCGCTGCGGACATTGCATAGGAGCTCGCACTTCTTTCTATTTGCATCCTCAAATGAGACAACTGTAACCGCGCTGGAAGGCCTTGCCCTATCCGTGACTGCGTTTGGCATGCGTGGGACCACTGGAGCGCTGCAGCCCTAGCAAAGATTCTACTTACTGCTTCTTCAAATGGACATGCTGCGCGAAGCACAGCATGTCCAAGGAAGCGATTCCAATCCTGCATTCAGTTAGAACTTCGGAAGCTTTTCGTAGACTCTAGCTTAACCTAGCAGGAAGTTGCAAGCTTCCAGCGCAGCGCGATCCCAATGCAGAGAGTGCTTGACCACGTGGCTTCCATTGCTTGACATTGTTTCGCATCTTTGGCATGCTAAGCTCCTGACAAGACTCACGGTCCTCATCAGGCGAGATTTTTAAGTTTGGGAAGCGTAGCTAGCTTCATCTGAAGAACTCACGAACTCACCCCAAGTGACCCTTGGGTTGACAAGTGGATCACTGGGCTCAGGGCTGCTCCTGTACCTGCGGAGGGGGCCTCAAGCGCAGAGCCCGGAACATCAAGGTGGGATGAACTGAACAGTATTTTTCTGTCGGGGGTCCTTATAATCGGAACATTGTAGAATCATGTAGAATCTAAGGCATGCAATAGTCAGACTTCTGAGAACTTGGCAAATATGCATTTGATGGAACGATATCGTCAAAACTTCTGGAAGGTTTGTCTCATGCATGCCCGGATGCTTGTCTCTATCGCTCCAACATTTAACGGTGTTGTTTTCCTTGACATCACGGCCATATTCTTCACTCTTGCTTATCATGCCTTGTGTTAGGGGAAGACATCCCTGGCAATGGCTGGACCCACCTGAAGCGGAGTTCTGGGATAGTGCCGCTCCTATCTTCCCTGCGTGGAAGTGGCTCATAAGCAAACGCTGCAACACCCAGAAAGGGTCTGCAAGCACGTCAAGAGCTTCTTATTTCTGAATCGTGTGATTTTCACTTGCTTCTTCCAGCCACAGGAGGGGCATGGAGAGGCCTTGCTTCGTGGTTCATGGATTCATTTCGAACAGAGTCTGCATAAACCTATACATCTGAATCCGTACCGCAAAGACGGACAATATGGGTAAAACAGAAACTTTCGTCCATTGGCAGGTGGCCCCGCGAGCTGGAGGGACACCCTGCGAGCCTTCAGACAAGACCCAGGCAATAATGTTTGGATTGACATGTGGGACCTGCTATGTGTCTGTTGGTAAGACGCAATCTTGCAAGCTTTTAAAAAAGTTTTCATAACAAGTTGAGCCGTTGTGAAGTTCTAGGCCGCTTGTATCTTCTGCTGTTGGAGGTAGAGCCTTGCAACACGCAGCCCTGCCGACATTGCGTCGATGGTCTGTGGTGCACTACTTAGCTTGGAACACGAGTGATGCTGCCAGACATGACAGGCATTTGTGTTGCTTAGAGTCGTGATTCACGCGGGTTTATGGCATTGAGCAGTCTGTTTGCAAGTTTCCCCGGTCTTTCTGCGCATTAGACCGGAAGCCTAGGACATCGTGGAGTTTGTGGTCTGATTGTGCCATGCCCAGCTTGGTGAGTGCACTGGCGCAACTTGTAACTGTAGCCTTGAATACAGAGCGGGCACGAGGCACTGCCTCCTGTACTCCTGGCTACAGATGGAGGTCCGCCCAAGTCCGCATTTGCTAGCTACTCGTGGATGATGGGGCCTGCGGGGCTCAAGCTTCCGGAAAGGCATCGCAGCATCGCCAGACGGGCCAACGATTGCGGGCAACCTGTTACGGGCTTGGAGGCTATGCGCAGTTTGCCATGGAAGGGGAGTTTATGGGTGCGCATGTCCCTAGATGACTTGGCTGCTGTCTTTTCATCCGAACTTGACCTTTAGCCCACCCTCTTGCCAGGAAGAGTATGAGATGTGCGAAGACCTTCCAATCTGCGAAAAGGCTCGAACTTCAACAGTCAGTCTGCATCACGGCATCACGAGTATGAGTATGGGTGTACTTCGGCCATGACAAAGGCTAAGGCCATGCACAAGCGGAAAACACACAGGCTACCCATGCAGATTCTGGATGACTGTGGCACGCGCACAGGATGACGACTGCAAGGTGTCCGAGTGGACGATGTCTTGGGCTTAATAGAGTTTGTTTGGACACCTGTGCATCCGGTCTAAGGGTTGGAGCAAAATCAACTGTAGTGAGGTGGAATGACTGCAGCTGCTCCTGCTATGGCGTCACGGAGCGCAGAAGTGTTCTTCCAGCTCTGGGTGCAAGAGGGTTGAGTTTCTTTGCCAGAGCAAAAGCATCCATTTGATACCAGGAGCGACATCGACGCGTCATCAAGCTGGGCAGTGGAGCTGGCAAGAAGTGCAAGGTGGGAGAGCAAGACATGGCCCTATTCCTGGTAACTTATCAGCGCGACGTGGCCAGTGTTCTTGTTTCAGATCGTGCTCTTGCGGGATCTACGCTGTATTGATTTAGCATTAAGTAGCATTGAGGCATCCAGCAATTGTTGCACGATCTCGCAGTCTGGACGCGCAGGAGAAGACATTGAAGGAAATTGCCCCTTGCAACCCAGGAGAGGACGAGGCTTCGAGTTGACAAGCTAGTGTGCGCAGCGGGGTGCCCTTGTTGGCCAGCATTTTCTGACCGAGAGCTCTCAAACTTTCCCTGTGAGAGGCTCACCCTCGGGGCTGCCGTGCTCAAGGTCCAGAGAACTGCACGCCATGGCCTCACCCATTCGGATGAAGGGGAAGGTTGTATACTACGAGTTCTCACGTCGCGCTCTGACCTCAGGCTCAGCCACTGGGAGGATTGGGGGACCTGCTCAAAGCCGTGTGGCGTTGGTCAGAGGACCTTTGACAGGAACATGTGAATTGTTCGCCCTACATGGCCTGTGGTTCGCAGAGATCTGCACATAGTTGAATTTAAGTTCACACGTTATGCTCATGAGCGAGTGTTTCTTGTATTCCATTTGTGTCTGCGAAGGACCCGCATGCGCCAGATTCTTCGGCCCTTGAACCATAACGGTGCTCCCTGCGAAGGCCTGCCCAAACCAACTTGCATCCAGCTCGAGCTGAGAAAGGGGATGCGTATGTAGCACGTTTTGAAACCCACATTCATTGCTGAGCATCAGGCGACTTGGCGCAGCAGCAGCCTCGACGTTCTGGGCATAAGAAGGTCGCAACATGTGTATTTGTCGGCTTAAGGTACAAGACATCATAGATAGGATTCTTTTCTGAGATGAGGGCTGGCTGTTGTCAGGTAAAAGCCTATTTGCCTCAATGATTTTTGAGGTTTGATTCATGAAAATAGTCCGGATCTCATATAAACTATCATGTGGGTTCTGTTGGAGGCAACGGGCTGGTACACGGCATTTCGTTCAATACATATTCCCACGTGTTTTTTCTTTCTGCATTCATGCGATACAAGGCTTATATTGCCGATGGATGCATGTGACCAGGTTTTGCATGATCAGCAAGCACAATTGGGATCGAAAGTATTGGATGTAGCGTCTTTATCTATCTCTCTCCAGGGCCTTTATGTAAATAGATTTTCTGAGTCCAGGAGGATCTAGAGCGGAGTACTATCGGGATCCTTCTTGTCGAAACTATTGCAACTATCCACAGTCGTGCTTTTCTATAAAGCCCCCCAATAGCAGGCCCTCACGGCCACTTTTTTTTAAAGCTTGCGCTGCTGAGGGTGGTGCCCTGCAATACTCACCACTGCCCAGAGAACAACTGCATTGACTGCCAGTGGGGCCGCGAACTTAGTATGTGTAAGCTTCTTGCAGGTATGGTTGAGCATATTGCGCCGTCTCTCTTGCTGCACTGGAAGGTCCCTGGTCCGAGTGGGGTGACTGCTCCGAGTGCGCTGGGCAGAAGTACCGAGTGACGCTCAGAGGGCTGGGACGTCCTTCATGAGGCAGAGACGGTTTCCTGTTCGTAGCTCCTCAGCTCTTATTCGAAGCTAAGGCCAGCGAACGATCCAGCACCTCCAGCTTGCCAGCTGCGATTCAGATCTTCCTTTTAATGGGTGGGAGCTACTACAAGTGCTCTTGGCAGTTGAGGGATTAATGGTTGCTTCACAAAGGGTCTGAGCATCTGCAGGTTCGTTCTGAGTGCCTGCACTTCCACATTTTTCTGAATTTGGACTTATTCTTTGTTATGCTCTGTTAACATGCGCTACTGTGCACTTGTTGCTTGATACGATGCTCACGGTCCACATAGAGAGACTAGATATTTCTCAGACAGCATGTAGTTGCATCTGAGTTTGCCTTCAACGACGTTGCAACAAAGTTGTTGCTCACTTGCTCAGTCCCTACTACGCATCGCAAACTAACCGGCTGAAGTAAGCTTGTACCCCGAGCCGAGAAGGCAAGACGTCGTGTCTCAAAGCTCCACTCTTATAGACAAAAAAGAGTATCTGTAAGAAGAAGAAGCTCATAGGATACTGGCATCCTAAAACCTCTGAAACCTGAAAGCTCTAAGGTGCAACCCATAAACTATAAATCCATCCAACTTGGCCTGATCTGGGGGAAAATGCGTACAATTTTTTGGAATTCAGAACAACAACTCTCGACTGGTTTATACACAGGTCTTCTTTCCGACCGGGCATGCTGTTGAACCGACAGGAACGAGTGCGGTCACAAATGCGATCCAGGTGTGGCGAAGGAGATCCTGCGAATCGCAAGTATAATGCGCTTGTTGCCTTATTACTATGGGCTGTAGTATTTTGTGGGGCTGTAAAGGGGCCGCTTTCTAGAGAGAAGTTTGCTCTCGTACAACAGATTTTTAACGAACCTCTCCGACTCCGCACTGCAGCTCTCACAAGTAGCAAGCCTGATCACAAAAGCTGGCACGCAAAGAGTTGATTCTACAGGTTCTTTCGCAGAAGCCTGAACTTTTGCCTGAATGCTCCGCAGAAGGGTTCACGTTCTAAGATTGGGGTCCAGCGGTCCAGGAGGTGACCAAAAGTCGTTGCGTTTGTGTCCGCAAGCGTTCGCAAGAGTTCGCAAAGCCTTCACAAAGCGTTCGCAAAGTTTTCGCAAAGCGTTCACAAAGCGTTCGCGTGTGTCGCGCATACCTCGCAGTCGCGAAGCACAAAATTGTCGTCACTTTCGGACTTGCGATTGGTTTTCGTATTTCAAAAGTGTTAACAGTCACGGGGTCCTGGTCGTGAAACGCAGAACTGTCGTCACTTTTGGACTTGCTCCTGGTTCTCGGGTCTCGAAGTGTCAGCAGTCACGGGGATCGGGGGGGTCCTGGTCGCAAAATGCAGAACTGTCGTCACTTTGGGATTTGCGTTTGGTCCTCGCGTCTCAAAATTGTCAACAGTCACAGGGATCGGGGGGCCCTGTCGCGAAACGCAGGACTGTCGTCGCTTTTGGAGCCTCCTCGCGCGAGAAGAGGAGAGGAGAGGACAGGAAAAGAGAAGAAAGAGAGAGAGAAGGGAGGCCGATGCACCCCAGATGATGCTACAAGCAATGGCCTGGTTCCCAATCTTTTCTGGGCCTCGGGCCTTTTCTGGGCCTTTTCTGGGCTTCTGGGCCTCTTCCCAGCCTTTTCTAGGCCTGGGGCCTGTTCTTGGCTCTTTCGGCTTCTTGGCCTAGAAAAGATCCAGAAGAAGAAGAAGAAACCCCAGGCCCAAAAAAGGCTGGCAAGAGGCCCAGAAGCTGAGAAAAAGTCATCAACGCAGCAGCCAAGCTGAGCAAGACAGGGGGCCAAGCCAACCCCACCCAGCTACGCCGGCGGTCGACACTATGAGGAGCACCCCGAGCACCTTGACAAAGAGACCAATTGAGAGTTCTGACAGCGTTGATGCGTGCGGGGAGGGTAACCGTTGATACCACCTTGTAATAGACCGGTTGCCCCTAAGTGCCTATAACCTTCACCACAACAAGTTGTCAAGACCCCTAACCCCCACCATCAGTAAGCTGGCCACTGAACTCACAACACAGCCACGGGGCGATCAAAAGTATCCTCGAAAAAAGAAAAAGAAAAACAAGAAAAAGAGGAAGACAATGTATTGCTGACGAGGACAGCAAGTACCATCCTTACCCCAGAGCAGTGAGCCAGCCAATAAAAGTTTCACCAACTTAAGGCCACAGGTTGAACCTCCTGCACAAACTAAGGTAGGCATCAACTTCATGACGGCCACACTTCATATGGAGGGTAATATCTGAAGGAAAGAAAGCGGGGAAAGGAGAGATGAGAGAGGAGAGAGGAGACAGGAAAG